GTAACTTTACAGAGCAGCAGCACAAAACATAGACCTCTGCATACCTGGGCATACACAGGTCCATGCCTCGAATATGAACAAACATTACACATTGCATACAATATCAAACAAATAGCCTTAGGTATAGTGGTATGAGCTTTTGCGATGTCGCCTTTGAAAACATTGTGCTTGGTAGGGAATGTCATTCATTCATCACAAATGCTTCATTCATTTTAGCGGTTTGAGCGCCTTTCGTTGCAGACCCATTTGGAACGGCTACCTCGCTTTCCGGCCCTGGCTTTGAACCTGAGCTAGACGCATCCTGCTCTGGCTTTGCAGTTGACTCGGGCACGACCGGCTTCGGTTTTGCGGCCGCTCCCTTTGACGCCTGCGGGAAAATCAGCTTCTCCAGTGAGATCATCGGTGACTCGAACGCTAGGGAGAAGATAGCTGCGACTGTGAATATGACCGGCACAGAGCCGATGAAAATATACACCAGAGTGAGCTGATCCAGATACAGTGGAGACTTATTGGTGTAGTAATAGTAGAGCTGAACGTCGATCGAGACCAGATACGACGTGTACGTCAGTCGGCTCAGCGGAATGAACGCCTTCCACGAGAGCAGGCTGTCGACGACTCCTCCGTGCCCGGTGACGCAGGCGAACACCACCCAGGCCACGGCCACGCTCCAGGCCGTGCGGCTGAGCATGGCGTAGATGACGCTGGTGGCCTCCGGCGGCACGGTGGGCTGGTCGTACAGTCCGTACACGATCAGACAGCCGGTGAGCGAGGCCGTCAGCCAGCCAATGGCCACCACCGGGGCCGGAAGGACGATCTTGCGACCGCGGATTTTGTGTAGCACCCAGCCCATGTAGAGGCCGACCAGGTACGGCCCGAAGCGCGTCCACGGCTTCTCGTAACGCATGTTTGAGTCGCCGTCGGTGCCGGGTAGCGCGCCGGTCGGGCCGAGGTTCTCGGTGACTGTCACCATGGCGTTGATGCCGGTGAAGAAACAGACTAGGAAGATGAGCCACAGTTGGCCGAGCACCGGCCAGTGGAAGAGCGGCAGCAGCACCAGCGGCGAGAACAGGAACATCTGCATGTCGTTCGCGAGATACCACGTCTGGCCCAGACACTGCTCCTCCAGGCCGTCGATGTTGTTGACATACAGCATGTTCATCCACCACTTCTGCTGGCAGAGCAGAGGGTTACTCTGGCTGGCGACGCCCCAGAAGGGGCCCGTACCGAGGTGGAGGTAGAGAGTCGAGACGAAGCCGATCACCATCATCATAACGGGAGTCAGACGGATGTAGCGGTGCACGTAGAACATCAATATGTTGAACTTGCCGTTGGTTTTATCAAGTGAACGCATTACAGAGTAGCTAACAAGAAGACCACTCAACAGGAAAAACGTGTCCACGGACACCGTGGCATCGGTGATCGTGAGAAAGCCAAGGTTGCCGAAGAATGACAACAGCTTGGTGATATTCTGGTGTTTGAAAGGTACGAGAAAGAAATACGTGTGGCCGAGAATAACCCAGGTATTTGAGAAGAAGCGGATACCGTGAAGGCAGCCTAGCGTATCCCTCGTAGACGACGTGTCAAGGAGCTTTTTGCCGTTTGTGTAAACTGAAAACGCCAAGAACACCTGACGCAGCGTTCCCGGAAGAACCTCGCGTTCATTCACAGTAGCCAACCAAGACTCTGGCTTTTTCGCGGCTTGTACTGCCACAACATCGATAACCGTTCCCACAATCATCAGCAGGGCCGTGAGGGAACATATGACAATCATGACAATGTCTCCTGCGGTGAATGTGGTCTCCTCGTCCTGCGTATAGCACAGATAGTCCGGTACTGAGACTGTGACCCCGGAGAGGGCGGCGTTCAGGCCCGCGGCCAGCTCGCTGCCGCTGCAGGTCGACGGGATACACATCCCGACGTAGGCGTTCTGGTAAGGAAGGACCGGTAGGATGGGCGCCAGGTCCACGGCGGCCGACTTTACGTTGAGATCAGGGGGTGAGTGGGTCTTCCCATCCGCCTTGGACATGATGGCCAGACAGTATTTACCGGCGAATGAGGCTTGCCTCGACACAGTGTCGGGCTCCAGACGAGTGGTGTAATACCCGGTCGTGTTCAAACATTCATCCCAGTTTCCGAATGGGTTCACGTTGCCCAGCAGCACACCGTCAGGCAGTTTTCCGGTGGCGTCAAACATCTTCAGCGCCCAGATCTCCTTGAAGATGTTGCGCAGGTAGGACAAGCTGCTGGCCTGACACGCCAGACTGGCGTGCTCGTTGGCCACGGGGGTGATGAAGGGCCCGATGGCACGCGCTATGGCCTCGTCCCTTCGCTGGCGGTACTGGACAGAGGTGGAGTCGGATGGCGCCTCCGAACGGGCGACCTCCAGCTCCATGGTCCGTGGCACTCCTGAAATCAGAGCGAGGAGTCTGCTGTTGATTTTGCGGATCTTATACGCTCTAAACAAAAAAAAAACAGCGCACGCAGATACCGGGCTCCCAGGTCACGGACACATGAAAATGCTCTATATATGTATAAACGAAAAGTTAATTACCAAACTGTTACAAAGCAAACAACTAATTTGAAACGTCGGCTTCGGAAGACAATGGAGAGCGCACCACAGCATCACTCATGAGCCATAACATTATTCGTCAGCCAGTCATTACCACCGTCAGGACACATCTGAAAATTGAGACCGATTCTTCACTTACGAGCTCTCAACTCACCATGTCTTTGTGTGGCGTTACGGATCACATCCGGGGGACTCTCCTCGAGCACATTCTTCCTGTCAAACTCCCTCCGAACTTTCAGAACCGTTCCCCAGTGATCCAGCACTCTCCAGTCATCTATACTACCATACTGCAACTCGGAGGTGAGCTGAGCGCACCCCAAACCCGTCACCAAACATAGGGCGGTGAGGAGAGCGCCGTTCGGACCCATGGCTGCTCCGCGCTGCCGCAGGAAGGGAAGTGAGACACTGCCGGCCGGCGCGCCTTGTACTACCGCCGCCTATCGAGGCTGGACTATCAGTGTGTGTGTGGTGACCGCTGCGTGAGATAGAATGGCGTGTAAGGTCCGAGCGCGCGTCCGTGAGAGTGGACAAAGGTCCGAACGGTGACGCCATCCGGTTTTAGGCGGAACGCGACGCGGCTGTTGAATGAAGCAAAACTGAATTAAGGCTCATAACATGGTGGATCGGATGTATAGTAGTTAGTACATACAGTAGACAGCCAGCAAAAAGGCCAAGTGAATGGCTTTGACCATTCCGTAACTAAAATGGCTGAACGGAAGGCTACCCAGGGTCAGCGGGTCAAGACAGTGAATCAGCTTAGCACATAGCCTAACTGCATCCTTCGCCACTGCATCTACCATCATATCTCCAGCCCGAGGACCGTAGGGTTAGTACTTGTCGTCACAATCGCCCGCCATGGCTGTAAAACAGCACCGTAGGCAAATATTCCTGTCTGCTGGCCACTGATTATGCTAAAAACCGGCTCAAATATACACAGTCTTAAACCTGTACAATCTTTACTGCTGCTGGATCGAGAGGTGAAAGCATTTTCCACGAATGTCGAAGATAACAGGGAAAGACTCCGTGTGACGTGCAACATGTATTGAAAAGATAGAAAATAACCTTACTTCTACATGTATTCTGATCGCGATCAGACAACTACGGGCAAGAGCCTCCAACCACGGAATCATCACATTAGAGGACGGCAATATCAAGTAGAATATAATCATTCATATCACAATCAATTTGTCTACTGGCGTGCCACCCTACAGGCCTACGCAGACGATATATTCGGAAATAGCGTCCATCAATGTGAGCGGTAGAAAATTGGGAAAAGGCACTCGTCAAGGCACAAAACAGATGTCAGACTGCAGCCAGGTTCCCAGAAGCAGCAAGCTACTTGGTCGATTGACTAAGATCAGGGGAAAGCTAATCAAACAAATCAGCGAACGATATGTAATAATACTGGGAAAGAATGAGTACACTGAGCTATCACACACCCTAACGCAAGTGCAGGCGGTTATAGTACATTACAAAGTACAAAGTTACAGTGCACACACACAAAACTGTGATAGGACGAGCAGACACGATTATTATGGCATGTTCCAGAATTGAACTGAAGCAAAAATGCTAGAGAATTGAGATACCGGCTTCACACTTTATGCTTACAATAGGACATGGATAAATCACGGAACCTTTAAACGTTTAATCATCCTATAAAAGCAACAGATTTAGAACAAAGTCTAAGCGTAACGTTTCCTTGCAATACAACTATACCTTAGGCAAATTTGCGAGCATATCGATAGTGTCATCTCGATTGCAAATGTTCATGATTTTTTTTTTTTTTGTTCAGCTGCGGCCTATTTGAGCATAATCGAAATCAGCCTTTCTTAGTTACATGACGTCAATTGCGTTGATTTAAAATAATTCGATGGCAAATGATAAGGAACAACGTAAAAAGAGGAATCAAACAGTTGTTCAAACAATAAGGCCCTAAAAGTTGAGCGCGTTATTCCGAAGTATCCTGATGTAAACGCGATTTCAATTACCGCCAAGCCATTACAAGGCACTCGAGAAATGCGAAACGTGCCTCATGCCTCAAACTAACGAGGATGCCGTCAATAATGCATAATTAACATTGTGCTTTCCTTCATATCTAACGTGTCATTAACTAAATCAGTAGCCCAATCACTAAGTGCGGACGCGCAAATTTAGAAACCAGAAAAACTACGCTGATATAAAAAGTAATACAGACGAGGAACTGATGACTTTCAAGAGCCATGCCAATCAAATCGAACCTCAACTCAGGCGATAAAGCCAGTGAAACACCAATGTGATAGTTTCAGTGGGATGTGACAGCATCAGTACCTACCCCAGCCTATACATCTTGAGCGACCTAGACAAAAAAAAAAAACTCTTGACAAGCAATAATTGTAAGTAGCACTAGACTTAAAGCATATACCCTGCATATCGCGTCTAGGCAAAATAGAGCAGCTTTTTAGCTCAGCATCTAGTGATTGGCAAACCACAGGCCTGTTAAAGTTACTGGTTACAAAGCAATCATAAAATCACCTCTCGCGAAACATCCAAATGCCATATTCCGATCACAACCGTTAATTTGTTTGACGGTCTAACGATTGATAACCCGTGCTCGATCAAGTATCTCTGCGTAACATAATATCACTGCCTAGTGTCGCCTATAACACTCTCACTACGACCGAAGCAAAGTGTGTAGATGCGCTGACCCACCACCGTTCTCAGAAGTCGACGCCGAAGGCTGCGATGCCGCCTCCCAAGAACCTCCGCTGAAGCATCACCAGGAAGAGGACGACAAACGGCCGGATAGCCAGGCCGAGGGTGCTATCCCACATCAGGGTACTGCCCGGCACGGGCCGGCACCTCGCCGGACGTCTGAAAACCGGCCACGGGTACCGTTATACCGACACCGGGTACCCGCACAGGAGCGGCTAGTCCAGCCGCAGATGGTAAACGGTTAGAGGAAGTTAACGCAATTCGCTAGAAAATCACAAGCCGATTGTTGGCGATATTATTTGATATCACGAAGAAATAATACGAAATAATGCGTTTTTATATTATTCAGCCGACAACATTTTTTGTTGTCAACGGTATTGAAAATTATGTAGAGGCTTATCTGTATAGGTATATGACACAGCCAAGTGCAAATAGGAAAAGCCATCACATATCAATAAACACAGCACGACTTGTCTTTAACATTTAGTAGCCGCGTGGTAAGCGCACTCCCCACCTGGCGACAACCCATTGCGATCAGCACACCCCGTGCGTCCCAGGCACCCCGCCGGTTCACTCACCCTGGCAGGCAGCCTCCACCGAGCCAGGGGTGTGCTTGGTGACCGACAGACCTCAGCCGCCGCTGAACGGACGGCAGAGAGCCACGACAGGTCACTAGGACTCCACGACAGGGCATGCGCACAGCAGTGAGGACGGGACGGGTCCGAAGCGCGGGGTGGTGCACCGACAAGCGAGGCGTGTGTAAGCAGGGTATACAATATACATTCACTACGCCCTGAACAGACGACAAAGATGGCTGCATTACAATGAGTGGATCGCCAACTTGCTTGTTTAATGCTTATGAATGTGAAATATCCCTATAGCCGAGACGTTGTGCAATCACGAGTGGTGTCAGTGAGGAAGTAGGAAAGCAGACGTCGGTGCAGGGGACTCTGAATCCAATGAGAATAATATGCTTTGTGACGATTACAGGAACGTGTTCGAAAATTGAAATGTACCTAACAAAAAGCGAGTCAATGTAGTAGAACGATACTGTACTACAGCCACATTCTAAGAATGTAGAAAAAACTCACGAGGGAACACATACAACAAAAACAAAAGCTGGCTTTTTTAGATACAACACTCACAATCACATTAAGCTCAGGACAATCACATCGGCATAAAAAACTGTCTCAAAAGGCAAATTACCGTTTTCAAAGACCGACACGTTTTTTTTTTGTGGTTCAAAACAAAAGCAAATGATGATTAAAAAACAACGCCGAATTCCTCTAGCATTATCGTGTACGATAAGAGTATGTGGAAATGAATAACTGTCACTTCCAAAGGCTGCCTAGTGCGTACTGCCTTGTCATTTCCCTCGCACGGCGACAACGGATCAAACCGCCCGTCGCCCACCCAGCGCGAAAACAAGCCGAACCCCGCATTACTGCCTCTCACAGCACCACCCTCGCGACCGTAACCCGCCACCTTTGACCGCGCTCACTCAGCTGTGCCATGCAGATCTGCCTGTACAGTGAAGTTCACCCCTCCGACTCCCTCCTACTCACCGTTTTCCGATCCGCTCCAGATCAGTGGGGCTGAGCGCGCCCGGGCGAAGGGCGTACAGCGTCTCGAGCGCCCTCAGCCGGCCGGTGATGACAGCGCCGCACATATAGCCGGGCCACTTGCTGGCAATGTCCGCACCGCAGAACGATACGCTGGACGGAGAGAAGACAGCAAGGTTTTTAGTGCATGTAAACGGCAGCAGAGCTGGACTAAGTTGGCGTACCTTTATGAAAGTACCGGCAACATGTGATACAGCACATTGTTCAAGTATTCAGCAATGAAAATATTGCTTTAGCAAACGGCGACTTCAGTTCCGTTTTTAGTACATTGTCGACTAATTCTACAGAGCAGTCTACCGTCCATCATACACCATCTACCATGATATTCTACCATCATCTTACAGCCAGCAGCAGCCGTCAGAGTCTACCGACCGACTTCCACCTCCGATCATCCACTATTGGCTCACCTTCCGTGCGGCTTCGTCAGCTCCGGCATCAGACTGGTGAGACCGGGTCCAAAGGAGCAGCCGGGCGCGCCGCCTCCGTACCGCTCCTCCGACCACACCTGCCAGACAGACCAACGGTCAGAGAGACCAACAGAGAGAGGCGGTCAGAGACAGACCAACGGTCAGAGACAGACCAACGGTCAGAGACAGACCAACGGTCAGAGGCAGAATAACGGTCAGAGACAGACCAACGGTCAGAGGCAGAATAACGGTCAGAGACAGATCAACGGTCAGAGACAGACCAACGGTCAGAGACAGACCAACGGTCACTGAGACAGAGAGAGGTAGTGGTCACAGACAAACAGAGAGAGGTAGTGGTGAGAGACAGAGAGACAGACAGACAGAGAGGCGGTCAGGGACCGGGTCCAAAGGAGCAGCCGGGCGCCCCGCCCTCCGTACCGACCACACCTACAGAACAGACCGGTCAGAGAGACAATGGAGTGAGTCAAACGGGACTGACCAGCCAGAGGGTGGAGGTCGGGGAGTAGCGGTCAGGGAGCGGCGGTCAGCTGACAGACTGACAGAAGCGACCAGAGAGGCGACGAAGGGGGTCAACGAGCGAGAGCGCTTAGTGGGAGGGTGGGGATGGTCGTGGGAGTGGGAGAAGATGTATAAAAGGACTGGACAGACTTGGTACTTTGCGAGCAGTGATCGTCTTTATGATACGTGACTGCTCTGAAGAGATCCATAACTCATGCCGTCAGATAAATATGTCAAAGCTGTGTACTGAGCGAGACGTAGACAACAGAATGAAGGAGACAGAAAGAATATTGTACGAGTCCCCCCGGAGATCACGGCTTCATCGCGTCGTTACCTTTTCTTGGTACTCGATATAGTGGTTGACGTCCTGCCCAAAGAACGCCACCAGATGCGAAATCACAGCGTTCTCCCGCTCCTCTTTCTGAAAACGTTACAGAGAAAATGAGGAGACGTCACATATTCGGCTACTCCGTATGTGCATTCCCACAAAAACACAACAAAAAGGACTTGTGCAAAAAGATAGAACCGCCTTTTCAATGGTACTGCGCCGCAAGATACACACCACCACCTGCTAATGCCTTACCGATCGGGACTGTCACAACCAATAGGTACCGTACCATGAGATTACGTTCCTCCACATCCCCACGGCTGCTGGATGCATATAAGCTCATCCCTAACCCATTCATACAATCCGTATTCGCTCCACCCCCATCCGTAACTTACGGACGCCATGTCCATCCATGGCATGCGTAGTGCATACCCACTTCCCCCCATAAATCCATCCTCCAATCCCTACCGTGCGAGACTGCCAGTGGAGGCTGAAGCGTCCAGAGATGAAGCCGACCAGTGCCGGGCTGCCTTTGTAAGTTGTGGCGTCCACGACAGCCGAGACGGGACCCTCCGGCTGTCCGCCGCCGCTGGAGATAGTGGCGCCCGACAGGCCCGACTCGCGCCAAAACGCCTGGCGGTGATGGCGGGAGGAGGGACGTAGGGAGTTAGGGATGGGAGGGTGCCTTCGGGAGACGAGAGTGCAGGTGGCGATGTTTTGTGTTTTTGGAGTGCAGGATGGCACTGGGCACAAGCAGCCATCAGAACTACAATGTCTCAAAACTGTACGATAGATTTTGGCAAAACACCATAAAGCGATAAGAGAGAACATCTTGACCCGCCTTCGAGGTTGCGTATCTTAATTCACCTCCCCCCCCCTCACCTGCTCAAATGTGACGATGAATTTGATGAGGTGTCCCGTGTTGGCGCTCCTGATGATCTCCCGTTTGGGTGGGCTCAGAGGCGGGTCGAATCGGATCCAGGGCAGCTGCACTACCGGTATCGCGCAGATTACACGCTGGCCTGGATGGGAAGGAGACGGGGTTAGCACCTGTTACAACAGGGAACTTGTAAAGACACCATGCTAAGAAACTAACATGACTACTGTCTGATTTTCCTGCACCCTCGGATCTTAGCGAATTGATCTAATCCGTCACATTTAGTATCCAAGACATGTGCATTTCAGAAAATTGTACAAACAGGTCACTAGCCACGCGTGCGAGCTCACGGTTTCGTTATCCCCTCCCCCTCCCCCCCCCCCACGGCCAGTCAGGAGTGTTCCGGCGCATCTGCTCACAGTGGAAGAGGTTGCCGGCGGCGGTGGTGACGCTGACGCCGCCGTCCTGCCTCTCGGTGATGTCGGTGACGGGATGACGCAGGTACAGACGGTGGCGGCCAATCCGGTCCGCCAGCAGTTCGCTGATCTGCTGCGTGCCGCCCTACAAGGTTACAGAAACAACGTCTTGGGGATAGGTACAGTACAACAAGACAGTAACACACCGCCTTAAGGGATAGCTATAGCCACGGTAAAATACTACCCTCCGCGTTACAGAAACGATAAAACACCGCACTGGGGGTTAAAGAAACGGTAAAACACCACCCTGGGGGATTTGGTATAGTCACAGTAAAACACTACCCTACGCAGTACAGAAACGGTAAAACACCGTCTGGGGGATACAGAAACGGTAAAACACGGCGCTAGGGATACAGAAACGGTAAAACATCGCACTGGGGGTTAAAGAACCGATCCAACACCGCACTGGGGAATACAGTCACGGTAAAATGCCGCCCTGGGGAATACAGAAACGATAAAATACCACCCTGTGGGATTCAGTGACGGTGAAACACCACCCTGCGGGATTCAGTGACCGTAAAATGCCGTTCTGAGGTATGTTTAACTATTAGCTAGCATCGTATTCACTATTCAGGATTCATTATTCGAAAGTTGTAGTTCCGACATAGGAATCAGCATAATGTTGCGCGTATCTTTCTCAGCGTCTAAAATACATCACACACCAGCCTAACTTTCGCAACAACTCCCTTTTTATCTGACTCGCTGCTACACCTCAACTCTATCGCCGACTCGATCTCGACTCTGAGCCCGTGACCCGTTCCCACTGACCTTGACCTTCAGCTCCTGCGCGCTCATCGTTCCTGACAGACCACCGGCGCTCTGGGTCTCCGACAGAAACTCGACGAGACCGACACGGCTGGCTTCACAGCCTGCCAACGAGATGCCGTGGTTGTCACCTCTGTAGTGTGTGTAACGCAGGCAGTTGAACTTGTAACACAGGGCGACGATACGGAGAGAAAGTAGCCCTCGAACACTTCGCTAGGGCACTGGCGATGTGGGTATGAACTGAAAATCTGCTGCCAGCCAGGCAGCTGACAGAGAAGGACCCTCCCCACTCACCTAACTCGGTTCTGCACAGAGTGGCGACGAGCTCCAGGGCGGGCCCCTCGCTCACGTACTGTCGAGCGTACGCCTCCAGGGTGAAGGAGTTCAGTTCCCGCTCCACGCGCTCCCGGGAGGAGCTGCTAGGCGCGCACTGTTCGGCCAGACTGTTAATCTGACCGGCAAAGAGAGAAAGAGAGACAGGGAAGAATGTAAGACGTTCCACGGGGCTGTAGACGAGGGAGTGTGGGAGCTGTGCAGAAAACAGTCCCGAACGAAGGGATACTAGCAGCAAAACAGTTAGAAAATATTGAAAACAGACCTACAGAAAATATCTTGCGACATATGACTCTGGAGACTCCAAAAAACAAAACAAGTTCATATGCACGGCATCTTACAAGTCAGTTGATGGTTCCGGTGTACCAGTCAGTTTTGAAATACACGCCACTGCGGTACGGCTGTCCATCCCGCCCAGTCCGCGGCGTCGACTGACCTTCCTGTAGAGACGTGCCAGCTGGACCACGCCCCACCAGGAGCCGATATTTGGGAGGGAGCCGATCCGCCGCACACGGGGACCACTCAGCTGCACCTGTGTCGCGCCCTGCCGGAGAAATCACATACCAACATACACAGGGAGAACTGATAGATGGACGGGTGACTGGTGAGGAGAGAAGAAATGTCTTCTCTACAATTATTAACCCTTGCACTTATAGGGTTGGCGAGTGGGGGTCGGATATTGGACTAGTTAGGCTTTTCGTGAATAACTCGCGATAAAGACCGGGGATGACGACGAGTAGTCCCCATCTACCCGACGTTTGAGTCATTGACATGACCTGGAATGTCAAACAATTTAGGATTTTAAAATTTGGCATCATCGGCTTCCTCTGTTCACGGGAAACACACTCGCTTTTTTTCTGCGAAAGTTAAGCTCGAATAGAGAGCAAACGGCTGGGGGCGGGTCCGATCAACTCTCCCTCTGTACGAGTCTATACGTTATCAGCTGCGAAACTGTCAATACAGACAAGCATTAATTTGAAGTCTTTTTGGCCCCTGCCACACTTTGTAGCAGCTGAGCAGCTGCATGCTAACTCGGTTGCACCAGCTGGCGATCTGTTACAAAAATGTGACAACTCTGTTGCAGACATCATCTACCCAGTAATCAGAAAAGTTCACTCAGAATGGACGTGAGCCAGTGAATGTCACCCACCTGCATATTGTCGGGGTACACCTCCAGCCCGAGCTCAGAAAGGGTTTCCATAATCTCCTTTTGGGCGTGGGCCACCCACTGCCCACCAAGGTCAAACGTGTCAGTGGCACCATCCCTGACACGCATCTGAGTGGCCAGAGTGCGACCGCCAACGCGATCTGAAAAGTAAGACATAATTTCAAACAATTTTCACTTAGACCCAACATTCTGAAAAATGTAAATTTTAGGTGAATATTTTCAAAAACAGAAAACTTTGGTTAACCTTGTTGGACTCCAAATTCAATGGCTTTGAATCACCAAATTCATGCAGACAAAGTAGGTACCATAACACAGCACTTACCATTGGCCTCAATCACACAGACATTGATGTTTGGATCCCGTTTGAGCAGTTCATAAGCAGCAGTGAGCCCGGCTACTCCAGCGCCGATGATGAGCACCTCACAGCTGACGTCCCCCGGTCCACCAGGCACCTCGGGCCGAGCTGCTGCCAGCACCTCTTTGGGGAGGAAGCTGAGTGATGGCTCTCGAGAGCCGACATGGCTATCACCTGCACTCAGATCCATCACAGCTACTGAAACAGAGATGGGCACAAATATCATTTCTATTAGGTGTTTTTACATTTGTGAGGATGTGGATATGACATTGGTCCAGCAATACAGGCTAATAGTTTATATTCCTTGCTTGAATCCCCTTCCTTGGTAGGATATTGGATGTTGATGCAGATGGATTGTGCAGAAAATCACTCAAGACAGGAATAAATGCATAAGGTAATTGCTGCAAAACAGATGGACACATTGGCATTATGGTACAACCTTACAATTAGTCAAGTGTAACGATTAATACATTGTCATCTACTGAAGTGCGCCTAGCTTTTCAACTGCTACAGTTTGAGCTGACAATAGTCAACAAGACTGAGACAGCAAATCAGAACTATAAGGCCTACAGGACCAGCCGCAATGCATCTTACCTCGTCCTACCTCAACCTCACCAATACTTAAAGGGACCCTCCCACCTTAACATTAGATTTGAGTTGAGATAGCCAAAATGGGGTCCCTGGCTCACAATTACCGGTTTCGGCACTCACAACATCGAGAAATGCCTTAAATCGGAAATATTGAATTTCAAAAATTGCAGCATTTTGATTCAGAGGGGCTAATGCTTAGGAATACCCCTCTGAATGTGTGACGTCAGCGCTAATATCTAACGATTTTTAAATGTTTGACTAAAACGTTTTGTAGCACGCGGTGGTATATGCTATTTGCGCGCAACATCTGCCGCAAACGCCGCACTTCTAAAATGAAGTCGCTAGAAACAGCGGAGATCCCAAAAAAGTAAACAAAAGTAAAAGTCCAATATCTTGAAAACCGGTGAATATTTTTCGGTGAAATTTGGTAGATATTCGTTTTCGCTCTTGCTGAACCGAGCGACATCACTTTCATGCCAATTCATAAACTTTTTTGAAGGTGGGAGGGTCCCTTTAAAAATCATCTCTCTTCTATTCTCTCGCGTCATGCTGACATGCAAAATGTAAACAATCCACGGGTCATATCAAAATTACTTCACTTGCTAGATTTTTTTTTTCTCCAAATCTTTACAAAAATTGGAACACTTAAGCCTTAACGATGGAAATTTATTTGAAATTCTTTTTATTTTTAATATTAAACTAGCGTAAAATGTTAGAATTCTTACGGTAAGCAAGATAACCCCTGTTCCTTTTTGTGAAATATGGCCAGCAAAATTGCAGCAAAAACTTTGATAGAAAATTCCTTCAGTGGCAAAGTGGTGATACCAAGGCCATCTATAGAAGGTACAGTCACTCCCCCGCCGACCAATCAGAGACAGATCCTGAGTGACGTCACCCCTGATGCTCGCAAGGGGTACTCCATTCCTTTCAACGTAAAAATGACTAATTTCATTTGAAGATTATTGATAGCACTCTACACATACCGCTCAGCCGTTGATGTCAATAGAAAGCCCAACTAATTTTCCATCGACAAAAAAGAGCAGCAATATGCTAAGAAATGGCCGGTTTTGAAGATATAGACGATTTAAAAACCCTCTGCAGCAGCAGGAAAGCATCGTAAAAACGCATCGAGCTTATATTTTTACTATGGATAATTCATTTTTCAGTAAGTTTTTAGATATGGTAAAGATTTGAGTTACAACTTTATTACAATATTTTCATTACTTGAAACTTTATTTCAAAATAATATTTTCAAAAATGGCAGCTGTTGGCCAGTAGCTTGGGAGCGATTATGGCGCACCGCGCCATTAATTGTCCTGAGGCCCCCTTATGATGTCATCAAAAGTGGAGTGACATGGGCCTGGGTGATACCATATTTTTGTTCTGATGCTTATGATACATCAAAAAGTTTTGATAGATTATTGACGTCATTAGAATCTGTCATTTTTACTTTGTTCTTTATAAAACAAGGTTCAAAAAGTTGTCAAACCAAAAGTTTTTATTCCAAAAGTGTATTAAACTGAAAATCGTAGCATAAAACTTCTAAAAAAATTAATTATACTTATTTTTTATTCCAAAGGATGCTATAAAAAGAATCTTTACACATTACGTAATACGACTTGCTTCAGCACATTTGGACTATCATTGACCAGCCTTAGCTTGAAGCTGGAATGACAAAAGCCAAACAAAAGACACAAGCTTTGGTGACGCCGGGGACGAGTGAGGAGGGGTGGGAACACGCGTGCGGATTTTATGTGTTTCCGACCAGCAGTCTGAGCAGTGAGCGGTGTAAATCGGAGGGTTACTGGCAAATATCGTATCGTCGGTTGTGTGAAGTGTGACTTCAAGGGGAGCAAGGCTTTGTGCAAAATGCCTGTGTTCCACACCAAAACGATCGAGAGCATCCTTGAGCCTGTTGCGCAGCAGGTTAGTCATTTTCAGCATTAATTATCGTACCGAATTCGAAATAGCTTTCAGTGTATCTGAATCAAAATCATGATTAAATTTTTAATATGATCTAGTGTTATATTAATCGCAGAGATATAATAGCTAATGCCTAGTTTTATACTTTTACTTGACTAGCCCAAAGTTGCCTTTGACTTTGCTTTTGTTATTTTGATAAGTAACTTTATGAGTAATGAGTTGAATCATGTAATTATTTATTTTGTTACTCATCATTTTTCAGACTTTGTGACTGGTAAACATTATGGTTATGACAGACGCTGACCTGCCCTGCCTTTTGTACCTCAGGTCTCTCGGTTGGTTATTCTCCATGAGGAGGCTGAAGATGGAAATGCCATGCCTGATCTGGAGCGGCCAGTGCTGGCTGTCTCACGGGCTGTCAACAACCTGGTCAAGGTTAGTGTCCTTCTTCCAAGGGATCCATACCTGATCGCACTAAAACTCCTTGCTCCTGGAGGTCATTCACCTGATCCAGGTCAGTCTCATTGGGGTCAGTGGCCACTGGCCAGGTCATGGTCAGTTGCCCCTGGTTGAGGATCTGGTCAATGCTGGTCTCTTGGGTTAATAATCTGGTCAGTGTTAGCCTCCTGGATCCAAATGCCTGGCCAATGTCAGTCTCCTGGGGTCTGTAAGCTGGTCAGTGTCTCTTCTTGGGCTGAGTAGTATGGTCAAGTTGGCAAGGTCAGAGTCCTGGTTACCTACCAGTACCAATAATTGGTTGGTCTTCTGCCTACCAATAATCTGGTCAAGGTCAGTACTGGGGATAGCGTGGTGGGAGTACCTACTTCAAGTAGAATCTTCGTTGTCCGTGTGACATTGACATCCAACGGCATTTTCGGCCCGGGCGGCGAAGAATCTCCTTGACGCGTATATTGCGTATAGTTTTCGCCGTCCACGGGACTCCGAATACGGCCTGTTCTGTCGGCTTGTGACTTATAAAACCGACGTCCTGTGGGAATGCGAATCACAAATCGCAAAAGCGCAGAAGACTTTGTTACAAACAGCCGGCAGTCACAACTTAGAGAGCTGCAGGCCGGATCCGACCCGTGGGCCGCAGACTGCCGGCACCCGATGTAGATTAATTATTGCGTTTTTTTTTTACCTTTTACTACCTTTTACAGGACCACACCATCCCTTGAGATGGGTGCCATCAATAGCAGGACAGTCTCTTTGTCGTTGACACGTAATGCCACGCCATCGGTTCAGATAGTGGGGTTATTACTCGCATACTCAGACGAGCGATTATCTGAAAAGCACACTGCTTCTTCCTTCTCTCATTTGTCTTCGTTGGAATTCGTATCGTCCCGTCGCATTGTATCTAACACACACGTGTCATCCATGCGTTCAATGCCTTTTTTGGCCGTCTTCTCCCGTTACTGCATTGTTCTCTTTCATCAAGGCTCGTTCCTCTGACCCGTGGCCCCGCCGCCCCCTCCGGCCTCCCCCTCCCCTACCCTGCCCATTTCTCTCCTGAACCGTGCCGTCATCTCATATTGCCCCAGTCTGCCTCGCCTCCGGTTTCATTTTCCGCTGCGTCCACTAGCGCTAACGGACGTATCGCCGTGCGCTGTAGCCAGATGGTGTGCAGTGTGCAGCCGCCGCCGCCCCCGCCCCCGCCCTCGCCCGGCGCTCCAGCTCACGCGTGCTCGGCCGGCGCGACTGCCGGGGCGGCGACTGCGAGTGGGGAGGCCCGGGGTCGCCATATAAGGCTGCCCCGGGCGGCGCCGGCCGGTCGGCGGCTGCGGCAGCTGTGACCGGCCGAGCCGAGCCGGCCACGACCTGACCGGAGCCGGGGCTCGGCCGCCGACACCGGTCCGCCCCGGTCGGTCGGGCTCGGTCACACTGTCGGCCGCCGGCGCACCTGAACGAGCCGACACCCACGACCGGGCGGGCCGCGCGGCGCCCGACGCACTCACGCAGGCGATAAGGCGAGCGGGCGTTGGCGGTGCTCGGGCGGGTTCTCAGTATGGAGTATATGGCCCTGTCACGGCGGCTCTAGTGGGCCGGTTGCTTCTGGCGATAGCGCCGGTGATGACTTCTTGCGAGAGATGACGGATACCTGCACCTTGGTCCCGGTGTCCATTGATTTTGGTTTGGTGTTAAGGTCACAGGTGCGATCATGGAGACTGGCTTGCCCGATCGAGGGACTTAGGTCGAGTTCCCGTAGAGTGGGAGGTTTAGCGGCGCTCCCAGTCGCCCACTGGTGTTGGGTGGTCGACCGGGCGCGCTGCATGCCAACAGGGGGCGGGCCAGACAGCGGCCATTCGCCGCGGTCTGCACTGCCCCTCCCCATACAAACCCCGTCAGTGACCAGAGAGTCTGCACTGCCCCCCCCCCTCCCAATGCTGACACCGACGGCAAAGGCTATGCGCTGAATATAACGTGGCAATAGTCGTGTGAGCACATGCTTATTGCTGGAACCATTCTAACTTCCTTTCAGATTCCTATGTACTCTCCTGCTAATTATCCATAACTGAAGGTCGGTAAATAAGCAACATCGTTCCCTGATTTATGCCGTTCATTTCTTGTATTCCCTCATGCATCACATTTCTCCCAGAAAATGGTTCCAATTACATATCTCTGTCTTTCTCATCGATAATCGACCTCCGTCGCGGAGGTATACCTGCATACCTACTTGCAGCGTTGGCCGACTGCGGTCAGCCAGCGCGTGCCACCGCCGCCGCCGATGTGCTCTGGGGTCGTGGACTCGTGACCTTGCCCGTGACCTCGGGGCTCGGGCACCGCCTTCCGTCGCTGTGATTTGCACCCGGCGCGCAGTGACTGGAGGTATTATGGGGTGTTAACAAGCTGCGGCAATGTTCTGTGGTGTTGTCTCGATGTTTCTGAAGTTGAAAGTTGCACTGACAGGGCTAATAGATTGCCATTAAAGTACGGCATACCGCAAACCGGTGACGACTTGTGCCCACGGGTGTATGTCTAAAATGTCACGGACACAACGCACTCCCGCCAGCCAGTCGGGGTTGGGTATGCCTGCATATCTAGCAGCGGTGCTAAGCGCATGGACACCGTCCCAGTAAACCCGTCTCCCTTGTCTTAGTTGCCTTCTCCCTCGCCTTTCGCCTTCCAGCCTCCCGTGGGTGACCGAGCAGTGAACAGAGCCCCAGTCAGCAGCGAATGCTGTTTATGAGTCGCTATCGGCCCCGGGATATGCCGAGTGATCGAAACAGACTGCCATTTGTGGAATGGAATGTTCATGTGATTCAGCTGCCTAAATTATTTACTGTTGGATGCCTTCTAATACGATAATGAAATTATGAGTTACGCGTACGACCTTATTTCCTCGCAGTAAACCACGTTATCCTTTCATGTCAACACACTGCGCGTCTTATTGTACTAAGGTTACATCCAGTTCCGTTCTCCGTGTAATACCCTTCTCTCCCGGCTGTCAGGTGGGCCGAGAGACCATCAACTCGAGCGACGACCCGCTGCTGCGTCAGGACATGCCGGCCTCGCTGACCCGGGTCGACGACGCCAGCAAACAGCTCGAGGATGCGTCGCACATGCTCAAAATGGACCCGTACTCGCAGCCCGCCAGGTAAGATCCGTGTGGGCTGGGCGATCAGGGATTATCAGGAGGTGTGAAGGGGATGGAGAGGGTGCGTGGATGAATGAGGGGTAGGGGTGGAAAGGACTGGAGGGGGAGGATACGAAGGGCTGAAGTGAGTTTGACCGCGTTTGTGTGGTGACGGGTTTCGCTTACAGTTGACTGTTCCCACCATTATCTGTGCCTACGAAGATTCTGCAAAAACGCATTGTGCTGTTTTATCTCGGATGGCCATTATTGCGTTTCTCTGTAGTCTGTATGCACTTTTTCGTTGCTATACAGCACACTAAGAAGAAAGAACATGAAAGGTCAAAGGCCGAACAATCTGAGATGTTAATGGCTTCTTTGTTCTGTCAGCCGCTCCTCTCCTTCGCCGTTTTTTTCTTTCTTCTTTAAAGGGACTATCCCACCTTTAACATGGGGTTTGAGTTGAGATAGCCAAGTTTGCGGCGAGGTTCAGAAACCACTTTCTATCTAGGTTGCAACCCCCGCGGCCTCTTGGTGTTGAAGAAATTCGTTCCCTTCATTTGAAAATGGGCCTTGTACAAGGCCCTATCTTCAACATGGAGCGACCGTTAGTGTGACGTCACCTCGTTTAGTCATTCTGATTTAAATGGGTTTGTTCGTTGAAAAATCGCTTAAAACTTGGTCTGAACTTTGTTGTGGTGCCTACAGAGTAAAAAGAATCAGCTTTATGACAGTAATGTGGCCTGGGGAAGGAGGTAATTTTGGGCTGTGACGTCACATATTTGAAAGTTTGTGTTTGGAATATGGGAAGCCTAAGATGTTTAATGAAAAATAAATGCCAGAACCGTGTTCCTGGTCATCCAATCTATAAAGTCGGGCACAATTTAACTGGTTTTAACAACATTTTAGAAGGTGGGATAGTCCCTTTAACGGGACGCTCGGTGAAAAGTTCAGTCGTAGACCGCGTATTTTGTTGGCTGCTGGAGCTGAGAATATTCCCATAAAGCCTTGATCATGTGCATAAACTGCACCGCCAAATTTGTAGGTCCTTACATGAAGTTGAAGTCTTATCTCCCTACCTCACCATTTGGTCGCTGCATTATCCGGGGACCAGCCACCCTATTCCCGAGCGGCGTGTTATTGTAACGGCCGACCGGCGCTACCGCCAGTGACCATTAGGGCGTCTGTAAACAACTGGTCAGCCGTATATGGACGGGGAATGCCGCCGGCCGGCCGGCCGAGTGGACCTGCTCTTACCGTGACCTGGCGGCGCCGGCCGGCGGCGTTTTTTTTTTGTTTTTTTTTTTTTAGCCCGCCGACCTACTGTGGCCCGGCGTGAGGGCGTGACTGGGGCGGCTATTTTACGGACGGATGATGTTCTCTTTCCTGCTTGTCCGTCGTTTGTCGTATTGTAATAAGTATGCAGATTTGATTTTGTTTTTCAAAGGATGCTTTCCGTTGGGCATAGTGGTGACTGGTGGGGATCATACGGCTTCATATCCAGTGCTCATTCGTAGAACATACAGTGTCAGTGAGATAAATTGATCGATAATGCTTCGTCATTGTTTAAATATTCAGTCAATTTGTCTATGATCGATGTTTTTGTTTGTTTGTGAATACGATAACCATAATAGACAAATGAGTAGTGAGTTGTTATTGGAAATCGAGCGCACGGATTGTGATAAATCTCCCTGAATTGGCGGTTTGTTCTGAAACATTCAAGATATCAAGTTGTGAGCAGTAATTTCTCGACAAACCAATGGAATAGTGTAAAGCGAGGAATACACATCTTGGAGATTGGATAATCCCTTGTAGAGGAGATATTCCGCTCTGTCTCAACGTGACTTGACCAGCAACCTCACCGCTCTATTCCTGACGTCACAATTACTGACTTCCGGCGTGGAAAAACTCTGAACAGTCCCCTAGTGACTCAAATATTGTTGAGAATGGGACAGTCGCAGCGGAAGCGCCTGTTCTGGGCTCGTCTGCCGCTGTTTTGCGGAGGGCGGCGACGGGCGACGTTTCGTTAGCGGCTGTTTACTGCAGGGTATATTGAGTGAAGGGTAGGACGAACTTTGGTAGGAATTTCTAGTATAACTACTAGAAAACCTACTATATGTGGTCGGGACTAGCAAAAAGTTAGTTCAAACTAGAATATGGTAGCGCTTATGGTTGGCAGTCGTGACGCGCACGTGACATTCATTTCTTAAATTCCTTAAATAACAGGTTTTAGGGGCCGATTAGTGGGCAGATACATTCAATTACCTATTAATAATTGATTATGCAAACATTCAAGAATCTACATCATTCAATTCTAGCCAAAATCACGCGACGCTCCCGGGAATCGAACTCACGACCCCCGGATCCGTAGCCCGATACGCTACCGACTGCGCTACCGCAGATCGCGCGTCGACGATCGGAGAGGCGGATCGCGGGTGCTGGCGTGCAGAGAAATCTTTACCCTGTACGCCGTAGAAGATCGGCTGGGTTTCGTGAAAAATGGTAGAGGAATTGTCGAAAGAAAATTCATCGATCTATCATTTGAGACCAAGAACCATTGATTCCTTCAAAGGGTGACCGAGATATCGCTCGCCGAAAACAGGCCATTTAACATGTAAACCCTATGGGCTGGTAGGAAATGTACGCCGTGGAGCAGCAGTGCTACCAACTAACTTCGGCGGGGGCCGGTTTACTGTATGTAGTCCGACTCCGATGAGTCACTGGAAGTGCTGACTGCTGGTGACTCGTACCCGTGGCCGATGACTCGCTCCGCTCGGAATCCCTGCCAGGGTGTATGGTGAAGGACCAGTGACGCAACTTTTCCCAACGATGGGATAAGTCGAACGTTTGTCATTTTTCACTTACAGAGTTTATTGTCGCATTGTCGCTGATATAGCGGACGATCTTTTATTGCCAATCGCTGACCTTACCTTTCTATCTATTTCTTTTCCAGGCGGAAGCTGATCGAGGGCTCGCGAGGAATCCTTCAGGGCACCTCCTCGCTGCTCCTCTGTTTCGACGAGTCCGAGGTGCGCAAGATCATCCGCGAGTGCAAAAAGGTGCTCGACTACTTGGCCGTCGCCGAGGTCATTGAGAGCATGGGTGACCTGGTGCAGTTCGTCAAGGATCTCAGTCCCTGTCTGACCAAGGTGAGTCGGCTGCGCCGAGCAGGCGATCGGCCGAGCTACGCGTACCGGCGCGACACTCTCTTCCTCCCACGCGCCTGTCAGATCGTTAACGGTCCGTGGGGGCGTAATGACGCAGCCAGCCGGCTGTCCCAGACCCACGCGATGAACAAAAACGGGACAGTGATGGTGTGCGTGTGCGCATTTAGCGCGGAGGGAATGAATGTATGCTTGCATACGATTAGCCTCTTGGTGCCGCGTACGTTTTCAGCCTTACAGGCTGGTCTACATTCTTTGGAACACTTAGATTGGTTTATATAATAAGCATTCGAAACGTTATCGATACGATCGCGGAAAACTACAAGCAGTCTACACCATCGTCTGAGCCAAATAGGTGGATGGTGTGAGACTCCCAATCACCATAACTTTCTTAACAAAGGCGCGTGCCTTTCCTGACACTGCCGGCCATGTCATTTCCGTTCTCGGAATCGCTGTCATTCTTCCGAGCCTCTCTCGTCGCTCTCTCCTCTAAAAACGACCGGCACGGGCGCTCTCCGGCCGCCAGACACCTCCGCCGCGCCGGGAGGAGCCGGGCTGTGAGCGCGGCCCTGGCGGGGCGATAACCGGTCGTAAAGGAGACTCCATGAGGTCACTGGCAGCGCACCTGTGCACGGAACGCTGGGGGGGGGGGGGGGGGGGGAATGATAATGGTCGGCGCTGGAGAGTGGGGGAGTTCGGTGTTAGGGAGGATTATGGGTCGTGCTAATTTGAATGGTCTGCGGGTAGAGTGAGGAAGTTTTAGATGTGTATCTATTTGCCTCCCTTCGTTATCATTTACTCTTCCCTTTATTATCATACGCCTCCTCTGAGCACCGCCCATCCGTCGGTCTCTCCGCCCGCCCGTCTGTTCCTCCCTCCCTCCGTCCGCCCGTTCCGTGCAGTCTGTGCCAGGTGTGCCGGAGCCGACCGCGGCCGCCCGCTCTGTTTGTATCTCCACATTCCTGCCCGGCCGACCGACCGACCGACCGACGGGCACGCCCCTCCGCCCGCTGTGCTGCCGCTGTGGTGACGTCACTGGCCGCGGGATGACGTCACCGACCGGGTGATGACGTGGTACTGGTGTGGGCGGGTGCAGCAGGTGGGCCAGATATGCGCTTTTAGGGGGATTTTCTCCCACTCCTGACTCCTGAGCAACCTGGGTTGGACTTCTATCCATGCGCCCTCCTCCTGACTGGCCCAAGCAATGGAAGTTGAACATTGATTGGACGGCTTGGAATTGACGGCCCAGCTGTAGCGCCTGTGGTGCTGGGAGCAGCAGCGGCTGTGGTGCCCTCCGGTGTCCTGGTGGCTCCACCGTGCTGCGTTCCACCATTGAGCGCCAAGCGGCCCCCGGCGCGGTGGTGTGGTGTGGGTGGCAGCTCACTGGGCCAGCTGCAGCAGCAGCACAGACCACTGCACTGCTGTCGGATCCACCGCTCAGCGGTGGGGCTCGACAGGCATATGGGGGAGGGGATGGATGGGGGAGGGGATGGAGAGTTGTGGGTTGCGATGGGCGAATAGATGAAGGAACTACACTAAAACTGGCTGATTACAGTAGTGGGCTGACTAAGTCAGGTGTTCCCATCGGAATGTAGAAGAAAATGAACGGCTGGATGTCTTTCCAACTTACGTGTCAATTACTTCCTGTGCTCCTTTTTACTTATGACCCTTGATGCTTCTCATGCTCACAATTTCCGCTATATTCCCGATCTATACCAACGCTTATGCCCTATATTTTCGCAAGTGACGTCATCTCGCTGACGGGGCATTCCACGTCAAATCGAACAAAAATCGGCTGTTTTGCACCTTACCATCAGCGATTTCAGTATAAATTTGTGAGCGAGTTCCTGTGTGGCCCCGGACATTACATTGATGTTTTTTTGCACATTCTGACCACAGGTCTTCTAAATATAGGGCATCAAATTTTTACAAAATGTTGGATCTTTATATTTTTGAACGACCATAACTTTGGTTGTGCTTGTTTGATTTGAATGAAATAAACCTTACTGTTTAGGTAATTTCTTAAGCATTTGTTTAGAATTGCACCTACTTAAATATATGACCTTGAAAATTGCTTAACTCTGTTCTTAAGCACAAATATTGAAATAGCAAAAAACACGTCACCTTCGATTTGGCTCATTTTCATATATTTTATTGCCTACCATATTCTTAACAACCTGTGAAAAAATTAGAGTGGGCCATTCATAAGTTTTGAAGAAAATTGCACATATGCAAACGTATGTTGGCACGCGCAGTGGAGGGGGAAGAGCGAATTTCGCCCACCCCTCCTGTTTTTCGCCAATATCTCATAAGATTAATGCGAAATTAATTATGGCTACCTGTCAAGAATTGAATTGGAAATCTCATCGTGCAAGCAATAAGAAAATCGGTTCACAACTGTTCTAGTAATAGCGGTGTAAAGTGAACATCCTGTCGCCGCAGCGACGCGGCGACTCGGCAGCAGGCGCCGACCGCTACGCGCCGCCTGAATTGTAGACTGTGCCGGGACGGAACGGAACGGTTCCGTCTTTACATCGCGCTCCCTACCGCTGATTACGTTCGATTCGCGTCAAATTTTGTGAGAAGACTAAGAAATGTACAGGCAATCTTATGATGAAAATTTTTTGAAAATTGGTTGGTAAACAATTGAAATATGAACGTGTAAACACAAAATTGTGATTGCTGCGTTTCCCGCATCGGCCGAGCCCGCCTCAGCCGGCGACATGTTACTCTTAGCAGGCCTCTAACTGCCATATTTATTATTGGATTAACTAGAAATTCCCCATACATACTAAAAAACGTATGTTCTTTCGGATAGTGAAGATCAAAAGACGTGAAGATATCGTTGCGTGATAATGTTTTCGTTGAATTTACTTCATGATGCATTTCCACACGGCTCAAAATTCACCGCAAAATACCGTTTGCCTGAGACACTTTTACTATGGAACGTGACTGCTTGACTACGATGACTATGCATTTCCATTCTCGCAGAGTTTGGGATATCACTAATCAGCAATCATTCATTTCAGAAAGTGTACACAAGCAAGCATGTCTTGACTCTGTCTTTCAAGGTCACGCGCGGTTGCGTGATGTTGATGCATGAAAACGGCGTTTGCCGCGAAAGTTATGAATGGCCCACTCCAATTTTTTCACAGATGGTTGGGAACATTGTGACGGACATAATATGTAAAAATTACCAAAATCGAAGGTGACGTGTTTTTTGCTATTTAAATTTTTCTGTTTTAATTCAAGGTCAAATGCATTTCAAGGTCACTTCAATTTAATTTTATAATCAAAAATCAAAGCCTTATCAATTGCCTATAAGACCCTGTTAATATCATTTTGATACCAGAAAAGGAACCAGAGTTATAGCCATTTAAAAAATTGATGTGTGGCATTTTTCGCTATATTCGATGACCTATATCTCAGCGATACGTTATCAAATTTCGAAAATATTATACGTAACTCAGTTTTGAACCATGCCCAGTCTGCCTACAAATTTTCAGAAAAATCGAAGGGGATGACGGATTTCGGTGTTTGATTTGACGTGGAATGCCCCTGACGTCACATCCCGCCTGGTTCCCAGTGACGTTAGGCGTCGTCACGTTTGAGTCGCCTTCCTATCATCACTTCCTGACAGTTCGCGCAACTTCCAGTCACGTTACGGGATAGGTACCGTGGCGTTATCGCCATGAAGACCGGACGTGTATGAGGGAGGCCGGAGGAAACGTGTCTGATGAGTTCAGGCCATCTCTATGACACCTGTGGCGTATAAGGAAGTTTTAGGCTGTCATTGCGCAATTGCATAGAAGTTCCTGATGTATGGTTGTTGATTGCACACGATGGTATTCCATAGGATGTTTCTGGTTCGCGATGAGATACAGCTGTCGCTAGTTATTCACCTGTTGCATCTAATCGACGTAATGCATCTGTCACAACTGTTTTACTAGCGTCATCACCGCTTGAGTGGTCCGCTCCCTCCGTTACACATGTTACAACACCACCTGTCCACCTGTCACACCTGTTACGTCCGTTACCCGTCACACCTGTTACGATCCATCACCGCGGCACCTGTCACACCTGGTTACGTCTGTTACGTCCGTCACACCTGTTACGATCCATCACCGCGGCACCTGTCACAGCTGACACTGTCAGTGCGCCCGCCGGTCATCCAGCCGTCTGTCAGCTGACGGGCTTCTATCGACCTTGACAGATGCCTCCGATGGCCTGGGGTCTCTCCTGCTCTCCCACTTCATAGCCGACAGACTGGAATAGCACACTCTGAAGTCATAGAGATTGGTATCAGGTGCCGCACCGCCCGTGCCGCCGCTCGTGCCCACTCGCTTTCCGTGTCTACTAGCGGGCCGAAGCGGCCCACGCAAATGCCAACCGCTAGCTCAAGGCCCACTCAAGTTCTAAGTGGTCGGTGTCGGTGGGCCACTTCACTTCAGAATTTCTGATGAATAAGACTCGATCATTGCCCAATTTAGTGGCGCGCAGTTAATCAACTTTTACTCATCGGCGCCAAGTGGACACGCCCTAGGTCAAGCAACTGGAAGGGACGTGGGCCAAACCTACCATAGCAGCGGCGGGAACGGTCATTACAGCACCAGGCCCTCTTACCGGGCCGTGATGGGATATAGGAGGAGGGTGGGATATCAATGCAAACTCAGCCTCACGAAGCATGAACAGAAGGGAGCGGAGTTTCTTGACAGGGTCCAATAGTTTGGGAACTCAGCACTTCCTTCACGTGCCGAATATGTGAGACTGAATAGACTCTGAGTCATCACGTGATGCTAGAATGATGAGCGAAGAGTCACGTGAGATGACGAGAGCAAAAGGAGTGGCCAGTCACATGATCGTGAGACGACAGGAGGATGAGAGTCGTGAGGTGGGATGGCTGGGAGGGATGGGCAGTTCCGTGATATGCACTCCCGTGGTTTGCCTGATGGGCTATTGGTCAATTGAAAGTAGCGCTTCGTATAAAGACGGAGGAGTAGCATTAGCGCGGATGACTGTAGAGCAAATGCTAACGCGCATGGCCTAGTTGTTTGAGGGCTGCGTGCAGTCCGCTGGTCCGACGCTAGACAATCAAAATAACAGCTCCCGACGTCAGCTCGACTGAGCGCTGAGCCCAGTAGTCCTTCCCTGTGGACCTTGCCCTCCCGTCTGTGCCTCCACCGTTCGCTGCAGTTGCCGAGCGGGCCGGTAGCAGTTGGCAGAGTGCCAGCTCTGGACGGAAATCGCCTGCAGCTGTCCCAGTCATAAATCGCCGGCGGCATTCTTGGCTCTGCCGTGAGCACGAAGTAGACAGTGGCGGGCGTTCAGGGCCCGATTATTTATCCCGCCATGTCTATCGGCAAGCTCCGGTGGAGACCTCTGCTTGCGTCAGCGGTGGAATTTGAATCGCACCGGCCGCTGTTCACTGCGGACCGCTGTTATCTTGCTGGAGTGGGTGCGAATGTGGACCTCAGTTGCCAGCCGTCACCTTTGGGGATCGGATACTTCACAGAGGATTAGTTGAACAAAGGAATGCTTTAGTGTCAATGGTGACCGTCCTTATATAACGTCGTGTTTGCACACTGAGCGATGCATATCAAACAGCGAGGATCCTCTAACTACTGCGAAAACGTGTATCGTGGTGTTCGGCCACCTCGGTGATGGTATGGCCGAGACCATTAGCGGGCGCCCATCACCGAGGGATGGGCGCTGGTGTGTCTAATTCCCTCCCCCATTCAATTCTGCGGACGTATGAATTGTACTACTTACTGCAACATTTACTTTCAGAGTTCGAATATCTCAATCGGGACTCCTGTTGTACTGTTAGATTGTTAGATTCGCATCAAAGCAATGAGAGTTGACGAACCCTCATATCGATCACTCCCCCTTCCACCCTGTGCCACACTTTATCTACCACGTGACCGGTGACCGTACGCTGCCTACGTGTCCGGCAGGTGTCACGTGACGTGGACGCCCGAGAGAAGGAGCTCACCCACCAGGTTCACCGGGAGATGCTGATGCGCTGTCTGGAGCAGGTCAAAACGCTGGCTCCCATCCTCATCTGTAGCATGAAAATCTTCATACAGATCATCACACAGTCGTCTGGTAGGTGATGGGAATGGAAGGGAGAGGATGGAGAGGAAGGGGCGGGAGAAGATTAAATGAGACGGGCGGGATGAGGGAGGAAGATATGGGAGAGGAAGGGATAAAACAGGATAGGACGAGGGAAGGAACATCATGGTTGAGATGGAATGGCGGCGCACAAGGAACATGGAGTGGTGTACATATAAAGAGACAAAGGCAGCCCTGTTGAGTTGGACGCTTGCTTGCAACCTAGTGTGTGACTGAATGGGGCACTGGAAATGAATTTGACAACAACTTCAGTACCACTAACTACAGTTTTTACACGCAACTACTACAGGCCCACACGTGTCTAACATTGTAGGTGCAAGAAGCTTAGTGTAGTCACCACTGCTCAAAACCCACACACCTATACGCCTCCCAACCTGAGCAAATCTATCTGCACCTCGCCGCGACCGGACCGGCTGCTGCGTGTGGCGTGTGGTCCCCGCCCAGGTGTGTTTGTAGAGCGAGAGAGTGGCCCGGAGACTGGCACCTCTGCTAGACCGACCGAGACCGCCCGACCGCCCCTCCGACCGGCGGACGTGTTTGCCTTTCTCCGGTCGGAGCCGTGTTTTTGTTGGCCTGACCGGTGACGGTCTCTCCCCTCGCTCCCCGCCTCTTTCTGCCGCCTCACACCCTCTGCCGTCCGAGCGAGCGACTTGTGCTGTCATTACACGCGACAGCCGGGATGGCCGTTTCATTAGTGGTCTCAGCGATGGGTTGTTATGTTGTGTTAGTGGGCTGATGCTGTCTTATTTTGACGTTTGGGTCATTGGGAAAGGGGAATGCCCTCTACGGAACGATGCATATTGCGCAGTGCACACCGTACCGGAAAGTAATTATGAGTTTTTTACGATAATACCTTGTCATTGCATTGCACGCTTTTACGTTCTGGTTTAAGTTCAATGGTGATATGAAATGCGGGAATCGTTAATGCGTTTATTTCTTAACTAAGCCGGTTGTTTACTAAGTGGTGTACTTGCCATTCTGAGACTATATCGCCTATCTGGTTGTTATAGTTGATGTCCTCTTTATACCACTATCTGCCCACCTGCTCCAATCTTCTGACTCTCTGCCCTGACCCACAGGGAAGGGCGCTGACGAGGCGGCCGAGAACCGCAACTACCTCTCGGGCCGGATGGGGGACGAGATCACCGAGATCATCCGCGTGCTGCAGCTGACTACCTACGACGAGGATGAATGGGAGGCCGACCTGCTGACCGTGCTGAAAAAGGCCGAAAACGCCATCGGACCGAAACTGCAGGCGGCCAACGACTGGCTACAGGATCCCCAGGTCGGTGGGGAATAATAATAATGGTAGGACTGAAACTGCAGGCGGCCAACGACTGGCTACAGGATCCCCAGGTCGGTAGGCGGATAGTTATAGGGATAGTTTGCGAGTAGTAATTGAGGCATAGTTGGATAGTGATGTCTAATTGCGCTGTTTTCTGCGAGTGAAAGTTTGAGTAAATGTCGATACTGCAGCGAGCCGAAAGGTGCCTACTGCGCACGCTGTCTGGTTTGAAACGTGATGTAGGTAAATAAGGTAAATGTAATGAGTGAGAGTTGCAAATTGGCCACAAGTGTGTAATCAGTATTCTGGATTCTTGCGAAATCTCTGCCATGAAAATTAAGGGTGCAATTAGGACGTTGGGTCCGTAGTTAGATTGATTTATGAACATGCGCAACTTGCGGGCTAAATGGTACGGGGCTGCCTTTGTTCCGCATCTCCAGCTTTGCTTTTGTTCCGTATAACATCTGTCCGCCTCTTGCATCTTCTAGAGTCCGGCTGCTTCTCATTTCTTGTTTCATTTCTCTCTGTTCCCTGATCTTCTAACCCTCCCCCTGTCCCCCTCAGGCGGTGCGTGGCGGGGTCGGTGAGAAGTCGCTCCGAAACGTCCTGGAGTTGGCCGGCCGCGTGGCGGACCGCGTGGCGCCCCAGGACCGGGACGCCATCCACAAAATGACCGGAGACATCGGCGCCATGACCGACGCCCTCTGCGAGCTGCGGCAGAACGGACAGGTCAGAGAGAGGTGGAGAGGTGGCGGGGTGTGGGGCTCCTGCTGCTTTGCTAGTGGGTAGGGTATTCGGGGAAGAGGCTGATTGCTAAGAGCTGTTTTGGATCATGATGTTGGAGTGTTGGCTGTGTTTAGAGTGATAATTTTTAGGGAGGGATGTATTTACATATATTTGCGTTTTCGTTAATGAGTGTTCTACATACAGGTATCCGAGTTTTGAGGGATGCGTTTTCGTTGCTCACGTTGTGCAGTTAATCTGTGTGGAACCGACCCTTCCACCCGTACCCCACCTAACCCCTTCCTCCCTACTATCCACAGGGCGCCACTCCGCAGGCTCAGACGCTGGCCCGCAGCGTGCAGTCGCAGCTAGCGGCGCTCCAGGACCGCGTGCACGCGGCTGTGGCCAACGTGGAGCGCTCGGGCGTCCAGCAGCCGGCGCACACGCTCTCCGGCCGGCTGGAGCAGGCGCGCCGCTGGCTGGCCGAGCCGGCCGCCGCCGAGCCGGCCGCGGCGGCGCTCGGCCAGCGGGCCATCCAGTTGGTGGTGGACGAGGGACGCCGCGCGGCCGACAGTCTGGCCGGCCCCCAGCGCCGCCATCTGCAGACGCTCTGTGATGATGCGGACATGCTGTCCCGGCAGCTGGGAGACATGGTGCGCCGCGGCGAGGGCGACTCGCCACAGGCGCAGGCCGTCGCCAGGTGAGAGAAATGCGGAGGGGATAAGTAGAGAGAGAGAGAGAGGGTAGTGGGAGTCGTGGAAGAAAGGCGCAGGCCTGGGAGGGGCGAGAGAGAATACTGGGGCTAACCGAGCCGATTTACCATGCTGTAGGTGCAACGTTGCCTCCATCTGGTGTATTCGAGGTAAAGCTTCAATTCGCGTAGGTCCCACTCTGGTTTCAGAAGAGGCCAGTCTCGCTCAAAGAAATCTGTCTACTTCGAGCATCCTCTTAAACATGACACAGTCCCTTCGCCTGTCGGCGACGCAAAAGGAGGATGCATTTGCCTCATCCATTGTAGAACACTAAACACACCTAATTTGCCATATCCATTATTAAATCATGCTCGTTGTCATGCCCGTCGTCTGACCTCGCCCGTTCCGCCCGTCCCCTCAGGCAACTGGCTGATAAGCTGACCCAGCTCAAGGACCAGATCCACGGAGCCCTCGTCGATAGGGTGGTCGAAGACTTTGTCGACATCGTGACGCCGCTCAAACAGTTCAGCGAGGCCACCCTGGCGCCAGAGGTAAGGACTAGATGGAGCGGGGTGCTGTTTTTACTGGGACAATAAGACGCTGTAGCTGGGCAATCAGGCTTGGATGGCTATTAGGAAATGCTTCGCTGTACTTACCACTAGGTACGAAAGGAAGGGATTACGTGTAGCTTCCTTCTGGAACAGTTCCGCTTCTTGTCTTCCCTTATTAGCCCTTACAATATCGATAGACTTTAGGGGGAAAATTGAGGGTATGGTATCTTCTTCTGATCCCTTCCCCGCCACTTCCGCTCCGTGGTGACCTCTTCGTGGCCGCAGGGCACGCCGGGCCGCCAGGAGGCGTTCACCGACAAGGCCGACAAGCTGCAACGGTTCAGCACGCAGGCGGCCCGCACCGGCCGAATGGTGGCCACCGCCGGAGCCTCGGGCAACAAGAAACTCTCCGAGGCGCTGCAGTCGTCGGCCACTGAGGTGGGTAACGGTGGACTATTTAGTCGCTCTGGGTCTGACAGGGAGGTGGGTAACGGTGGAATATAGTCGCTCTGGGTCTGACAGGGAGGTGGATAACGGTGGACTATAGTCGCTCTGGGTCTGACAGGGAGGTGGATAACGGTGGAATATAGTCGCTCTGGGTCTGACAGGGAGGTGGGTAACGGTGGAGTATAGTCGCTCTGGGTCTGACAGGGAGGTGGGTGTCTAACGGAGACTATCAGAGCGAGCTGTCGCTCCCGCCTGGGGCGACTGATGGAGCTGCAGTATTGAGGTGAATTAGGTAGGAAGTATCCATTCCCAACGAGTGAACAGCTAGGCTGGTCTGGTCATGATGCCTGATTTACCCTATCGCCCAGATGGAAAGTATCCATCCGTTGCCAGCTGGTAAATCGCTACCATTCTATTTTGCTGTCGTTTTGACCTTGCTTCACGTCCTCCCGGTCAGGTGGAGAGTCTGCACCCGCAGCTGGTGAACGCGGGCAGTATCCGCCTCCAGTACCCGGAGAACAAGGCTGCCGACGAGCACTTTGAGAACCTGCGCCGCCAGTACGCCGAGACCATCAGCCGCGTGCGCGACCTCAGCGACGAGGCCATCGACGCGGCCCAGTTCGTCAGGCAGTCTGGTCAGTCTTCAGGGAGAGGTCGAATGCAGAGGGGGGGGGGGGGCTGCTGGGAAGGGTAAAGGCAGCTGTTGTGCTAACCGATTGTTGGTAGCTACGTGTGTTGTGGCCCTCCGGGTGCGCCAACTTTTCATTGCTCGCTCCGGTCCGCAGAAGAGATAATTTAACAGCTGAGGCCGCTGACCTGTGACCTGACCTGTGACCTGACCTGACCTGTGATCTGACCTGTCCCCAGAGGAGCTGATTAAGCAGCACGCGGACCGCTGTGAGGTGGCTGTTCAGAGGCGCCAGCCACAGGAGGTGGTCGAGAACACGTCCGGAATCGCCAGGTGAGACTTTATACAGTAGTAATTACGGAGCGAGCGAAGCGAGCGAGCGTAATTGTGCTCAATTACATGCGGTAAATTTTGTAGGGTAGCTTCATTCCTTCTACCAAGTATTGGACTATTCCCGATGCATGTGGGTGACCCCTTATGCACGTGCCACGTGCAAAACGAAGAGGTGTCAGTTTTGTAATTGTTGCAATATCTCGGTAACTACTTGGCCGATTGCGCTGAAATTTGGCATGTAGGTAGGCACCCACTAGGCACTGCATATCCATGTGCCAGAGTTGGGGTGCTGCTGCACGTGCGCACGTGCAGGGGTCGTTTCCAGATCTCGAGAACGGCTCGACCGATTGCGCTCAAATTTGGTACACAGTTAGGGACCGGTTAGTAGGGTGCCGTGCACAAGTCAGTTGGGACCCATTTTGCACGTGCGCACGTGCAGGGTGCCGCTTCCAGATCTCGTGAACGGCTGGGCCGATTGTGCTCAAATTTGGCACATCGCTAGAGACCGGTTAGTAGGGGGCCGTGCACAAGTCAGTTGGAGGTACCCCTTCGGAATTTCGCACGTGCAAGGCTCACCCTCTCGCTCGCTCCGTTAGTCGCCCCAAAAGGCGTTATACTGGTTATACATACCGAGGATTCCTACTGCTGTACCGGCCCTAATCTCTGGCCGCCGGTACGGTATAACTGTTCAGCTGTGGATGCCTATAGTATCGCTGATGCGTGGAGGCGTTGCTGGTAGGCAGGACAAATGAAGGAAAGTTGCTGTGTTCAGGGGTGTATGGAATTCGGGGTGGTTCATTTATCAGGGATAGATGCCTACGTCATCTTGGTTTTGGCGTTAGACGCCGCGGTTGGTGACGCATCTTGGCTAGTTTGTCCGCCGCCGGCGTGACGTCAGCCTCCATCACCTCATTCCCACTCCTCCCTCCCTCCCAGCTCCTCTTCTCCCCCTCTCATCTCCATTTTAATTCAGTCCTGGCGCCACCTCCTCTCCACGTTCCCACCCCCGGTGTCTTTCTCCTCTGCTCACCCTCAGCCACTGGGTCATGGCTCTCCCATCCCCCTTCGAATGTCCTAGGCTGACTCAGACAACCTTGCCCGAGCCTGTCGGAGTTGACGGATTCCCAGTCTCGACATCTATCACCCCCTCCTTCCCTTCCGCCCACCGCACACCGCCCGCTACCGTCACCACCGCCCACCCCGTCTCTACCGATGGTGACAGCCGTCGCTGCTGACGGCCCCGACGCTCTATGGCCACCCGCCGTCGACTTTGGTAGGGTGCCAGCTCGGCGGATAGCTGACTGGGGGCGGCAGTGGGGTAGGTCAGGTTCACAGGGACGATAGGAGCAAAATAGCGGGACGTTTTAAGCTAGAAATGATTGTAATTGTCATTTGTTATTTTGGTGGAGTTACATGCTCCCGTTGCGTTCCTGTTTATCTTGTTTTATTATTTATTGTCGTTTATTTCTCTTTTACATGAATATTCTCAGTCAGGGGCTCACGAATTTTATAGACTCTGTGCTGAATTTTGTTGGTGCCTTTGACCCACAGTAAGACGTTACCAATATATTTATGTGACGCCACAAAGCCGTTTGTATGACGTCACGTCCGATATTTGTGTCGTCACTCGGCCAATAATGGGGGACAGTTTGCGGACGGAATGTCACGGTCGACGGCGGTGTGGCGGCCGCCCAAAGCCCGATTTAACCTGGCTCTACTGCTCCGCCGACACACCGACCGACTGACCGACGAACAGGACACAGGGGAGAGTGTGGTCACTGTCTCACAGCGTGGTGGGTCAGTTGGTCGGTTCGTTGGTCGGTGCTGAGTGAGGTGAATTGTAACTGCGGTGCCGTGTGTCTGTGAAAGGCTGCTGGCGGTGAAAGTGAAGCCCCATTTTGTATTTCGAACTCATTTAGTGCTTGAGTTCGATTCTCTTTCTCCCACCCCTTTCTCGTTTTACCGTTGTATCACACATGCCGTGTTGACCTGCCCCCACATCCCTTTCCTATTCCACTGCACGTCCTCTTACGTAACAATTGGCCAAGCTTCCCTCTGTTTCCCATTGACACTTCCCATCCGAACACCAGTGCAGCTGCTGCAGGTGGCGACTGACTTCCTGTCCCCGCTCCCTCGCCAGACTGGCAAACCGTGTGCTGATGGTGGCGAAGAAGGAGTCGGACAACTCAGAGGACCAGCGTTTTATCGCCGAGATCACAGCCGCCAGCGACAGACTGCAGAGAGGTCAGTAGATGACTATAGACTGCAGGGAGGTCAGGGTTGTGGTGTCCCAGTGACTTGGGTCTCTGACAGCGTTGCGTTTTCAGACTGGTGACTTCTTTGGGGCTTGATTACTTGAGATCCACTCGAAATGTTACCCATTATGCAGGCCACCCATTACGTAAAATTGAGGCGCCATGTGCTTTCCTTGTTTTTCACAATTGTAACAAAAACTGCTCGTATGGCCTGTATTTGACCTATGACCTTTGACCTGTCCGCGCCCCCAGGAGTGACCCCGATGGTTCAGAGCGCCAAGGAGGTGGCCATCAACCCGGCTGACCCGGGGTCGGTCGAGCGCTGGCGGTCCGCTAACCGGGAGGTGAGAGAACCTGGGAGCGGCGGTCAGGGCGGTCCTGAAACGCGGATATCATCGCGTTGCCATTAGGGATTTGGTTGTGTTGTTTTAATTATCGATATGTGCCTCGCGTCGTTTGGCACAGCATTCATTGTACCTGGTCGGGTCAGTGGGTTCAGTCATAGTTAGTTTCAATGTTCTCTGCATATATTTATCGGTTTACCCATTGGCCCGCCCATCCTGGCTCTTTTTTGTCATTGTCTTTGCTCCTGTCGCTCTCATTGTGCTGACTGCTCCGCTCCTACCTGTGCCTAGTTGTATGCGCTTATCCTGGTTCCCCTTTCTCTTGTGCTCATCCTGCCCCTGACTGCAGATCTGACCTACCCTACCGATACCCCTGCGGTGACCTTAACCCTCCCGCCCCGCCCACAGCTGCTGGGAGCCGTGGCCCAGGTCCGGCGGGCCATCGGACCCGGCGTGGATCTGTCCGCGGGAGTGGCCCAGATGCAGCTCAATGGTAAGGGTCGGCGTATTCTCGCTGAGGAGTGGTTGATTATCTCACTCTGAGAAACAGCCAGGGAAAATCGTGATGCTGTAAATATTCATCTCCAGTATTCCGGCTATCGCAGCTTTGCTCTATGGTTACTTTGCTATATGGTTACTGCCATTCTATGCGTAATCTAAGCGTCGGCTTTCTGCTTTCCAATTCGTACCTCTTCTGTTCTACCTATATCGCCTTTGCTAAATGTTGCTTTATCGTCACTGTTCAAATGATTTCCTTCAATGTTCATGCTTTAGCGTGTACAAAGTGCTTTTTACTGCTAATCAGATGCTTCACACGGCTGTCATCAGTGTCACGCCCGGTTATTGGTCAATGGCAAGCGTGGCCTGTAAATATACCCGAGTGAGTGAGTGAGTGAGTGAGTGAGTCGACTTAAGTGAGTTTAAAGATGGATGGACTCTGCTGAAAGATGACAGATGCGCACATTACGATAAGTTTGTAAATGGACCTGTAACAAGTCACGTCAAAGTGTTAGCTCTTATATTGTAGCCGGTTTCAGCTAGTTTTGCCGTCGTCCTTTAACTTCAATAAAGGGCGTTTGCTTGCTGAATGGGCGATAAACAGCGATTTTTTACTTCTTCAGTTACATTTTCCCACCTTCATCGCATTTTTAAGAAACATTAGTGGACGATACCGAGCTGGGCTAGTCATTGCATCGCCGAAAGCATCCATCATCATCCAGCAGACGTCCGTCCGTTTTCTGAGCACAGCTGCGCTGCTTTCACGCTGTCTGGTGTCTGTCCGGCCGCTTACGGCTCCGGCCGCTCCGGCTCCCCTCTGACCGGCCGCTGGTCGACCTGTGCCCCCCAGGTAGCGCCCCCTCCCGGCCGCCGCCGCCGGCCGCGCTGGCGTCTCACTACACTGCCGCAGGTGACTGGCGCCGCCCCCCCCCCCGCAACCGTCCCCAGCGGGAGGGGCAGGATACCATACCTTACGCATCTCTCGCGAAACTTCAATATCGCCGAGTGCTTACTGCTGTATGATAAAACTCACGCTTTAGCTTTACGATGCACACTCTTTTGCATTACGGACGATTTAATTTGTGTCACGTTTGCGCGTGTTCATTGGTGATTACTAACAGTTATGACCGATTTGATTGGAAATGTGCGTGCGTGGGAGATTCTTGGTGTTATTTGCGTTGGCGTTTGAGTCTGGCCTGTCCCATCCTGTCCGCTGTCGTGTGGCCTGTCTGCGTCTAGTTGCGTCTCTGTGCGTCTGTGTGTGTCCCAGTTTCTCTGCGTCGCTCCATGTTTCGCGTATACCCCCGTTCCTCCGTCTCCGCGCGTCCACCGTCGCCGGGCGGTGCTGACGGGCTCGCTGTGGCCGACAGGCGAGCCGCCCCTGTACTCACAGCCGTGGGCGGTGTCACCAGAGGAGGAAGGTAAACCCCGGCCTCTGTCCGGCTCCTCCCCGCTCTCTCTACGGGTGCGACCCTTCCCCTGCACGGCTGGAAATGCCAGTAGCCGTGTGATGTGCCCCAAGGTGGTACGAGACGGTTGTTTGTTTGTTTGGGGCAGTGAATTCATAGATGTGGCTGTAGCGGATAGCTATAGATGGAGCAGCTGCTAGGTTTCGGATGTGAGGCTGGGCTGGTTAACTATGACTGCCTGTGCCCTGGACTTGGTTGTCGCAATACCTGCTCACTGTCTCGAAGGGTCGTTGCAGATGGCTGACTGCATGCTACCTCCGTGAATTTCAGCAGGTCAGCTAGTCAGGCTAGAGACTTCAGTTCAAGCTCCTTTGGTGTCGGAGTGGTTGTATTATCATGCATGGTCCTCCAGTCATGTTATTCGGTGGTTAGTTTTAGAGGTGCCGGCCCCTCGATGTTGTAACTTGATGCATTTGGTTTTAGCGCCCATCCTACCCTTGACTCAGCATGGTTGGTATAAGAGGAAATATTGTCGTGAATTTTACAGGCTGCTGGTACATGATTGAAGCTCATAGCTGGTCGGTTTTCATGCACTAGATCTGCCTGGATCTGCCGATGTGCTTTTGCCCGAGGGAATGATGGACAGGTAAAAGCCTGGGAGACTTGGGCATGAAGGACGGTGTTGTGCTGCATGATCGGGCAGTGACAGCCTGTGTGCACCAGCGGGATGCCAGTGTAAGCGGGATGCCAGCGGAATGCCAGTGTAGTGATAGACGCCAGCTTATGTGTTTTACACCCAATAATTGAACTGGATCATGTCACCCCTGCTGTCTATCTGGACCTGTCAGCACTGTCGTCGCCCAGTGTATCGCTCCTCAATGTCTCTTCTCCATCGCCCTCCTAAGCGACCTTGCTGTCACTTTTCCTAATCCTATTCCTGTCCCTAAACCTGACTCCTTAGCTTCCCATATCACTGTCTCCGATCCTGTCCCTGTCCCTAAATCCTGACTGCGCGTCACTCCGCTGTGGTGGTTTCTTCTCACCCTCTCCCTCTCCTCCTCCTTCTTTCTCCCCTCCTCTCCACTCTGTCTGACCTCTCATCGCCGGCTGTGACACAGAGTCGGCGCCGCCGCGGCCGCCGCCGCCGTCCGGTGACCAGCCGCCGCCGCGCCCCCCGCCGCCGGCCGAGACCGATGACGAGGAGGACAGCCAGCTGTTCCGGCACGCGCCACCCGCCAACCAGCCCATCATGGCCGCCGCGCACGGACTTCATCAGGAGGTGAGGGGACGGGAGGGGGGAGGATGGATGCCAAGTGAAGATGTATTATAATGTCATGAGAGTTGACCTAATTTTAGGTTATATGTGTGGTTTAGCTCTGCAGACAGCTGTAGGGATTTATTAGTCACATTCATTTTGGTGATGGTAAATGTTTTTGACGCTGCTGAATCGTGTTATGTGCTGTTCGGCTTGAGTATGTATGCCTCTTGGCTTTTCAATCACATCAGCTGTCTAATCCACCACCCAGTAATCCCTTCCCCACCGTCCCTTCCGCGCAATACCGGCCGGTGCCTTCCTCACGCCCACGTGCCCCTCTCCCCAGGTGGCTCAGTGGAGCAGCAAGGACAACGACATCATCGCGGCCGCCAAGCGTATGGCCCAGCTGATGGCCCAGCTCAGTCAGCTGGTCCGCGGTGAGGGCGGCGGGAACAAGAGGGACCTGATCGCCTGCGCCAAGGCCATCGCCGAGGCGTCCGAGGAGGTCACACGGCTGGCCAAGGAGCTGGCGCACGAGTGTACCGATAAGAGGATGAGGACGGTGAGTCGGAGGGAGGGAGGGGAAGGGTTGGGTTGGGTAGGAATTGGTGAATGATAGGCTGGGAGGATGTGGGATTATTTTTTGGTGGAGGGATTTTCGTATTTGTCGAAATGCATTACGCTTGGAGCTCATTAATTATGAATCGTGGTCTCACGGACAGCCATGAAGAAAGAGTAGCCTGTACCTGCCAGGCTCTCGTTTGAATGGCATAGAGAACTTAATACATTCATTGCCTTTTTGTGTTAAAAATAAGTTATGCGAAAGTGATGAATCATGAACTCGAATGTCAAATTTGAGTCATTTTTATTCGACCGTGATGTTTCCTAGGATAAAAAGCATATTGTTCTGAATATCACGCGGAGCCCAATCGTATGCTACTTTTACCCGGTATGTTCTCCTGTTCCCCGTCTGACCGTCCCCCCGCCTCTGTCCCCACAGCAACTGCTGCAGGTGTGCGAGCGTATTCCGACGATCGGCACCCAGCTGAAGATCCTCTCCACCGTCAAGGCCACTATGCTGGGTGCACAGGGTGAGTGCCAGACTCCGCGACCGGGCCGGCACGGGAAGGCTGGGGAGGGTGTGCTGTATATAGCGTAAGGAAGGAGGGATGGAAAGGGCTGTGGATGGATTACAAAAGAGAGTTAAGTTTTGTTGGATGGATGAGGACAGAGAGAACTGATGGCGACGATAATTTATCGTAAAATGGAAGAATTATGGAGTTGGTTATGCACTTTGTTTCAATAGCGATCGATGGTCTGACCCCAGGCATCAGCTGCTGGGCTGTGTTGTGGCCTGGGCCGTGTCTGTCCCTCGGGAGGTTCTGTCCGTCGCGCCGTGCGTGATCTCTCTGTTCTGTGACCGTTTTTAGGCGAGGACGCAACGTTTGAGCTGCGAGAAGACGGCATAGTGACCAGCGGTAAACCGACTGCCCCCCCCCCCTCCCGGCTAACCCTCCCCCCCCCCAGCATCGTGCGCGGGGTAGCGCCCACTGACCGCCTGAACTCGACCCCTCTCTCTCTGCTCTCTCACTCTACCTCACAGTTTCTGACGGGAGTTACTGACAGAATGTTGATAGTTGCAGTTTGAAGTGGCAGCTCACTTTGGGGCACTAACTGAATCTAGATGCGAATATGATGTTTGAGACAATTTTGCTCGCCCTTAGCTGCCTTTTCGTCCCGATTATATCCAGAGCGTTGCTGTTTGAGAAGATGGACTCGTGAAGACAATAGAATCTAGCGCTTTTCTTCTCCTTTTGCTATCTGCTTTAAGCTTCGTTTAGGGAAGACTGCATTGTTAGTTATTGGCTCCCCATTGAAGTAGTGTGAAGTTCTTTAGTTATTAGCACCCATTGCTGAAGCTTTTTTAGCACCCATAGTTTGCAGGTCGCGCCTTGGCCTGTGCAGCATCAGTTTTGTTCTTTCCCTGCCCAGCTTCCACTGGAGACCCAAGTTCTGACCCTCTCCTGAGTCTGGCAGCGGCGACAGTGTTTGACAGCTCGCCGACCGCCGCGCTGCCCTCGAATGATGTCTAACCCGGGACTGACATTAACAGCTCTGTTGCGGCGCGCTTCGTGCCGACTGTGTGCCCGTGTGAACGGTAGTTAACTCATGATAGACCAGTGTGAACCTTGGCCAACTAGACAGCCTGCCGGCATTATGAGGAGCGTGGCTGCGGCGGAGCAGCTGTGATTGCCCGTCCCCTGGCGAGTCTGTGGTCTTAGCTGCAGCGAACCGAGTGTGCTGATGCCTGATGCTTCGAGTACCTAATTGGGGTTTAGCACGCTTCCAGCTTCTAGCGTTTGAATCGTGTTTTAGGCATTGAGTGAATGGAGTGACTGATAACTGGCTGAATGTTGTTATTGTAGTGAAGATGTACCGAGGAAATTTTCGAGAGTGATGGCTTGTGTCATCTTTAGGTAATCTTGCCCCAAGATTTATTCGCGGCCGGTCCACTTGCAGTGTTATGTACCCTTGAAATGATCCTATTTCATTATCGTTTTTATAATTGAGGAAGATTCGGGTGTCGGATGTCTTTTGAAATGGATGTCTGCTAACTTATCGTTAGAACTTGAAACGACTTACTTTTTACGTAGTAGTTCGTAGAAACGTTGAACATATAACTCGTGACTGATTCATGCTATTCATTGGCGTGGTTCATATTAACTTCGAATAACAAGCACAAAGTAGTTTGTGTGGATCTCAAACATAGGTACTAATGATATCCTGCGTTTTGCCAGTACGCTGTTTGTGTAGAATTGATGACGTAAAAAGCCTACATTTTATTTAGCATTATTGGTTACCATAGTGCCCACCAACCTTGTCTAGACAGCACAAATTTTTACGTCGCAACCACACTATTCTCCAGCTATGATATTTTAATCTATACCATACATTCCGATGGTGCAGCCTAGCCCTCTACCATAAAGGACCTTGCAGCGGCGGCTTTTCTGCTCCCGTTACCGACGTCATCGTGCCTCCACTGACGTCACGTGTGTCCGCCAGGCACGGAGGAGGACCAGGAGGCCACCGACATGCTGGTCGGTAACGCCCAGAACCTGATGCAGTCGGTGAAGGAGACGGTGCGCGCCACAGAGGCGGCCAGCATCAAGATGAGGACGGACGCGGGCATCCAGCTACGCTGGGTGCGCCGCTCACCCTGGTACCAGTAGGGGAGAGCAGTTCTGGTCGGAGGAGGTGGTCACAGAGCCTGTGGCGGGGATGGACCGGGACTGGCCCAAGAGGAAGGCCTCTCAGTGTCGGGAGTAAGTTGTGGGAGTTGACAAGGCCATTCGGCCTGGTATTTGGATAAATCTGTTGCGGATACTTGGATAACTCCGGCACTGGCGAGAACGAACTGATACCTGTGTCACTCCGATACTGGAACTGCGGTAGCGGGCCCGGCCCAATGACCGGCGCCCGTTGCGGGGCCAGGGTTCGGTTCTCAGTTGAGCTGCTGACACCACCGCAAGTGGCTAAGGTAGGCAAATACTGGCCCTGGATGATTCACATGGCTCCTATCTTATGCCAAACTAGCAGTAGCACTGGACAAAAACAGTCCGGTATTCTCTCCTGAACTGGTCATCGGACGAACTGAAACTGGAGTGGCGTGCCAGAAACACGTGTAACTGCTACTTTAGCTGCAGTTGGTGCCTCTAGGGCTCTAGTACATGTGCAGAGCAGCCATGAACATTTTTTTTGGACTAGCGTTGGGTCTGACTGGAAAACGTCAGTCCATCAGAAGCATGTCTCGGATGCAGTATAAAAACTTAACTTGGCAGCATCGCTAGGGACGAATATGTCATCCTGCTGTCATCCTGGGTCGTCTGGCTGGTCTGCTATTAAACGTTATATTATTAACATTCAATAAGTATGTATGCCGCTATGTAAGGTTGCCAACGAATTACTTTGGTTTTGTGAATGTTGCTTGGCATTTGTAAGCTCTTTTTGCATGTTTTGGAACTGTTGTTTTTACTCTCATTTTGTCGTTTTCGTTCTTGGATTTTTGGATTTTTTCTTTTGATGCATACTATGGTGAAACGGAATCTGTTTTTGATAACTTTTCTCAGCGGAAAAAGTATTTATGAAGATTTTATAGGTGAAACCAGGTGCCTTTCTGAGCTCTGGGCAATGAATGTATTCGGTGGGTGTTTTTGTATGCTCTTTGAGGCGTGTCTATTGCTGGCATTTTGTCTTCCTGAGATGGTTTTAGTGGTACATTTAGCCTAGGCGCGTGTGAGTCAGAGCCCGAGTAGGCGAGCTTGAGAAATGTCTTAATTTTAATCTGCCTAATGCAATACTTTTGTCCCTTAATTGCTGTGAAACAGCCTCAGAACGTGCGTCTCTCTACGTTTGTGGCTGAGCTCGTAATCCCGTGGTTTTTGTCTGCTTATAGTGTGTCTGATTCTGTGATCCGATTAAGGATCACGTATTGTGCGACAAGTTGCGTGCGTGCGTATACTGATCGATGATTGGTCCGATGCTTCGCCGTCCGGTCGGCGATTGGCCGCCGTCGCGCCTTGGCGGCTGCTGATTGGTCGCTGCACATCCGTCGCAGCCCGTGATTGGTCGTTGTCAGGTCGTCGCATTCACTGATTGGTCGCGGTCGTCCAACTCGACACGTGCGAGTCTTGTTGGCGGCGCCTCGCATTCAGGAGATCCGACGACACTAGCCTAACCGAAACGCTGTGAAGTTGCCAACTAACAATAACTGGAATATAAACAATAGCTTGGTACCTCGCGCGTCTGATTGGATAGTATAGTTCAACCGGCCGTCTAGTTTAAATGGAGTTTAGCGTCTGTCAAGTGTAGAGCGCACGGGGTTGTTTTCCATGTTACAATGTCGTGCGAGTCATTGTGAAAATGGGCTGCAGAACGTTTGCCGCTGGACACTCGAATGGTACACAGTCAGGCAAATCTTCCTGAACTCAGCCGAAATTAATTTATTTGCTCTGCGCCCGAGCGGACTGGAGCGAATACAACATAGGTATTGAACTTGCGTTCTCGTACCGTGAGGCGCTATCTCCCGTCGAGGAAAGCTTTAGTGACACGAAACATTTGAGCTGTGCCGTACGCGAGCAGTGCACAGTGCGTGTTCTTACCTTGCCGACTATCGGTACTGCTGGCAATCATCACACATATGTCGAGTAGTGTCAACAAATCACTCCCAGGAGACATGATTCGCCAGAATCGGGTATGAGTAATGTAAACAGCTGTCGGGAAGCTCGTGCCGCCGATATTGATATTAGCCGTGTCACGCTAAAGGCATGTCCGACATCAAACCGTACAGACGACCGCACATAAGAGCTCCCGAGTAGAAAATTTATTACAAATAACAGATAGTCATAAAAGAGAAACGAAACATGCGTCCACATTGCGCCCTATATTAGCTCCAAAGCTCGTCTTCGGGACTGAGTGGGCAGCCTGCGGGACCATAAAGGCTGAAACAGACTCTTTCCGCGTTCAGGAAATCGCATGCGAGAGCCTATTCAAATACATTATAATTCTTCCCGCATCAATCGCATCCGGGAGGTGCGTGCGATTGATGCGAGCGTGCTTCCATGTATTTGAATAGGCTCTCGCATGCGATTTCCTGACTGCGGAAAGAGTCTGTTTCAGGCATAATACCAACTCGATCTATCGTAAACCAAGCGGTGGTGTGCTCTACCCCTGACAATTCTGACCAAGCTGCATCACTCAGCCCGGCCCCGAGGTCGGTACAGCCGCATCTCAGCCCGGCCCGGCCCCGCGGTCGGTACAGCCACATCCCAGCCTAGCTCCTGCGAGTTCATACCCAACACACAGCGTCCGCCCGCATCGGCCCGTGGCCGGTCGGCCGGCCGTTGCCGCCAGCGTCCACAGCCGTGCCGCGCGCCGGCACGCCGCGCTGTGCCCTGCAGTCGAAACACAGCCACCTGGTGCGTCTCGCGCCACTGCGCACATTTCCCGCCATCACGCGCGCAAACTGGCGCCGTTACGCATCATACGATTTCATGCACTACCAATAGAAAGCATTATGGGTAACACATAGTTAAAGCTGAGTTGCACGATACATATGACATTCGTTCTGAAAAGAAGTTTCAAAATGAGTGCGAATTGGCCTACAGGTACAGCCTTGTTTATCTAGATGCCCATACTCTGTGTATCTAGATGATTTCACGATCATCACATGAATCACGATGAGCTAAAGCCGTGACAAATGAAAGCACAGATGATAAATAATGAAATCTAACAAGCAAACAACAGATGCAGGTGAACCCAGCATGGTCCCACGAACAATTTGCAAACATTGCTACAGTCGTAATATCCCGGCCATATAAATTCATATCACTTGTTTTATACCTGCCGCTGCATATCACCATATCGTATGATATACAGAAGTCATACATCGTGCAGAGATATAAGTAGAAAAGAAACGAATTTTCTCCATGCAATTCACATGCAACAGCTCCCGAATAGGTAAGTAAACTCTACTACAAAAGTCCCTAGCATATCCTCAAGCGCAGCCATAAACTACCACCTAGCATCCTGCCGGAAAATGTCTCTAGAGCGCCCCTCACCTGACAGTCAGACAGTACAGCTCGTACCCGACAGCAGGTATGAAAAGTCCTACTTCCCCCACCATAAGCTATCCACCGCGGGTACTATTGGATGTCAGTCACAGAAAATTGGGACGCCGATACCGGAGCGAAATGCGAATACAAACCAAACCAAGTAAAACACAAAACAAAAATGGGCCAACCTGGGAAATTGAGAGAAATAGTTACCGATATTCAGAGCGTGTTATAAATTTGAGAGGGGGAAAACTAACAAAATATCAAAACATAAGGTAAGGTGGGCACTGGGCATTAGGTAATCGTGGGCCAAAATATGGGTATTCGACTGACGTCCAGTGGGAAATAGCACCCCTCCCGCCTCTCCGCCGAGCCCTCAGCAGCGCGCGCGCGAGAACGGCTGGTTGCAGCGCACCAGGGGTATATCCTCGAGGAAGGCTACCAGTCCCTCTGGGTGCAGCCGGCGCAGGCAGTCGGCGGCAGTCAGCGAATCGTGCTCCGATATGCCGTCCTTGCGGTCGAGCAGGTCGTGCAGCTGACTGCCGAGGCGGATGGAGCGGCACGGGTCCAGGAGGGCGGACGGACCGGCCGGTGACGCGCCGGCGGAGAGCCAGCCGGCAGGGGACGCAGGGCCGGCCCCCTGCAGAGAGTCCACACAGTTCGCAGACGCCCTGAGGAGGAGAAGGGGTCATACTCCCCCTATTAGACCAACATCTAAACGCACTGTGGTCGTTATTAAATTGTACTAAGGCAATGATAGTTCGGCTAATACTCGACAAAGACTGGCTTCCAACTACTGGCATGCTGGAGTAGTGAGATGCGACAAGAAACTTGCGGGAAAGAAACTTAACGAACTGGCCGTGGTACAGTTCGCTGACATCAAACTAACAAAGTTGACCCGTGACCGAGCTTGAAAACAAGAATGACAACCAAACTGACCATAAATACCAGAAAGGAAAAAGAACGTTGACACGAAAAAAAAAATAACAATGCATAGGAAGAAAGGAGGCAAGCCTCGTACATGCAAGATAGATACAGCTGACGACAGTGGCCGCCGTCTGTGCGGCGGGTGCCACCCACCTACCGTCCGGCGGTGCATGTTCCGGTGTCCCGGTGCCTACCCTGGGTCCGCGCGCGGGCTGCTGGCCAGCATTTTCAGGTGTTTGGTCCCGCCCAGGTGCTGTCTCAGACTCTCCGGGCCGGTGCAGTCTATTTGACACACGTTACACCGGTACCCGCCTCCGATCACACCGACGAAGGCCGGTGTGGCCGGGCCTCTAGCCGGCGTGGCGCGGCCGCTGCTGAGGCCAGAGGCCGGCGTCGATCGGCCGCTGGCGGAGCTACCAGCCAGCGGGATGAGCGCCTCCCCCGCGCCGGTAACGGCCGATCTGTGGACGACACAGCGTCAGATGAGAGACATGGAAATCAGTACTCTGAAGGCTAGACGCAAGAATGATATCACGCTCACCGGGGACATTAATCGACACATCACAGTTCCCCATTCCTGTTGTAGCACCTCACCTCTCGGAGGGTGTCGATGGGACCCACTCCCAGTCCCGCGGGGCCGGCGACGGGACGCCAGACCCGTCCCCCGCCGCTGCCGACGCAGAAGACGCCGACGGCGGGTCGCTGAAAGACGCAGACGACGCCGACGGCGGATCGGTGGAAGACGCAGCGACGTCCGAGACAGCCGACAACGGGTCCTTGGAAGACGCAGCTCCGTCCGAGACAGCCGAGGGCCTGAGAAACAGCAGCGTGGTGTCGGTGTCTCGGTGATAACGGCGAGGGAAAGGGGCCATGGAAGGCTTATTTGCTGGCAGAAGGCAGTGACCTGCTTGTCTAAGATGTCCCCCCATAAACACAATTTGCGATGATTTCAGGTTTTCAATATTAGACATGCAGCCGAGGATGACCAGAGTAGCTAAAGCTCAGCAAGTGAAGCATTATCTGTTTGCAGAGTATCCAGAAAGTACTTCACAGCTTCAATATCATCAGTGTGAGCACTGTCAAAAAAAGTTCAACACTCTGTCATACCCATGATCTTCGATGCATCACTCACCCAGCCCCCATCACTCACACATATCCCACCTGCAGCGCCCCAACCCTCCACCCTCCCACCCAACGGCCACTCACAAGAAGGGGTTGAACGGGTTGGTGCTCGGCCACGGTAGGGCCTCTGCTGTTTCCATAGAGGAAGAGCTGCTGGATACCTCACTCATGGTGACCGATTCCGGCTCCGGAACTAACTCCGGCTCCCGCTCCGGCACCAACTCCGGCCCCGGGGCCGGGGCAGACGCGCAGTGGTCGGCCGCCATTTTGATGTGCTTGGCGCTCTGCACGTGCTGTTTGTAGGGCTCGGGCCCGGAGCAGCCGACCCGGCACAGTTCACAGTAGTACTGGCGGCCCGGGAGGCTGGCCGGGGTGGAGCGGCTGGACGGCTGAGACGGCGGAGCAGCAGAGTCCGACAGAACGACGAAACTGCTCTCACTGCTGGCCAAAGACAAACTGAAAACAGGCGGGAATCAGATTCAATGCACTTAGTTGTATGTGTATGCTATTTACAAAGCATATGACAGCCTTCGGTTCGCATAATGAACAAATTTGACTTTCATGATGGGCTACTACTGTTTTACTTACCATTCATTGGAAAAGAGCCGCTAACACCACGTCATTTCATTATGATAGGTCCTGAGTTGAATTTACATGACCGTGAATTTTTCATAAGGCGGCAAGGGACCATTTCAATCAAATCACAATATGAACGAAGACCCAGAACAGATCAAAGTGAGAATGCAAGTCGAGCAGGACCATTCGGCATCCCAAACAATTGTGGAAAGTCACCACTCTCCGACACGCAAAAGCCGGAAGACAGAGAGGTAGTAGGTAGGTACTCTGTTCAACAGAGTCACTCACAAACTCTAACGTTTAGAAGAAGTATCTCACTTTCACTCTGCCCCTACAAGACACACTTCAGCAAATATTCTTCCCAGACGAAAAACAAATGCGTAAACACTTGACGACTAACTGACAGCACTAACCTGCGTTGTAGCTCCTGAGAGGCCGCCTGTCCAGTCTCCGCCGCCGTTTTGATGTGCTTGGCGCTCTGCACGTGCTGTTTGTAGGGCTCGGGCCCGGAGCAGCCGACCCGGCACAGTTCACAGTAGTACTGGCGGCCCGGCAGG